TCAAAGAGCACATTTAATATCAGTTTTCGGAGAAAGCAGCACTTTAGTATTCGAAAAAACCAAAATCGGAGTAAATCATCCCTCAGGTTTCTTCGAAATTCGGAGTAAATCGTTCTTATCTTTTCTCAAATTTGGGAGTAAATTGTTCATATTTTTTAAAAAAGTATGGGGGGGTAATCCTATGTGCTAATTATGCTAGCACAGGGGCCCGGCTGACTCAGGAGCCCAATCGAACGGCTTAAGCCCTGCATTTTGTTATTATTAAAAAAAATACAAATTGATGTGTTAAAAATGTTAATGATCAGCACAGGGGCCACAAATTTCTTAAAACGGCTCTGGTTATAGCCAAAAAAATCTGTCATCAAACTTTATTAGGAACTCTCCACTTTTAAAGGCTACATTTCATCTAGTAGTATTTGGTAACTGTAACATTATGAAGAGGTATACGTTACTATTTGTCCAATGGATAACAATAGTACTCGATCATCTGGTCTATGTAAAATGAGATGTCATCTTGAGAATTGCAAGGTTGTTTTTCTATGCGAATACACAATGGTTTTGATCAAATACGAGAAAAATAACTTTGTTCTTTTCTGTTCGACTTTCGTTTAAGCGATCTTCAATAATAAGGGTATACAGGTAGATAATTTGTCATTTATTGTTTCTTCAGTAACGTCTACATTTATTTTTGTGTCGTTCAAGATAGTTTTCCTCATTTTTTATACCGTAATGTCGACTTTATCCATTTTATTCTAGTACATAACACAAGTATGAGTTTATTAAAAACGTTACAAGCAGATAGCTGGATTATTCGTTTGGCATCAAATCATATAGGTTATATATCATGTGCAATTCCACTTGTGGGATTATTTATTGTATCGAAGAAAGCGACATATCACAAATGTAAGTATACACCATACACACACACTTACGCATAAAACAAAATTACCTTTATCACTGATGATTCGATTACAATAATTTGATATATTGATGTATCATATTGTCCTTAGGATATTTTGTTGTTAATTCTAGTACCACATCCTGTAAGATGGTTATTGACATCATTAATACGATTATTCATATCAGATGTTCCATCAAACTCAATTCTTACGGATGGTAATAGTAAAGATACAAATATACAAATTTCTGGCCCAATTAGTACAAGCGCCACAGCATCTTCATTCTCCTCATCTTCTTTTACCCATCGACGGATTGTTCAATTACTAGTATCATTCATTGGTTTACAAATAAGTTATTTACTATGGGGCCTATTACAGGAACGTATTATGACTCGTACATACGATGGTGAAAAATTTAATAATTCACAATATCTTGTATTTATGAATCGTATACTGTCCATGTTTGTATCATACGTATGTTTTAAAATATTCTGTAGAAAAAAACTGTTAGTAAACAATACCAATACTTTATCAGGAGTATATTCTGCCTCTCCTCCATTATATCAGTATGGTATTATATCTTATGCAAATTGTATGTCTACATGGTTCCAATATGAATCATTATTGTACATTAGTTTTCCCGTTCAAGTTATAGCGAAAAGTATAAAAACGATTCCTGTCATGTTATTTGGTCGGTATGTATCAAATAAAACTTATCCAATAAGACAGTATCTATTTATGTTTATAATGGCATTTGGTATTGCATTGTTTTTTTTGGGCTATAATGAAAATAGTCCCGTTAAAGAAACAATTACTAAAACTCCAACATCAAAACATAATCGTATAACCACAGCGAGCGGTGTTATTTTACTCGGATTATATCTCGGATTTGACGCTTATACATCAAATTATCAAAAATATGTATTTGATCATTTTCAAATAACATTTCTTCATATGATGTTTTATGTTAATTTAATATCTACATTATTAACACTTACATCATTAATATTAAATAGTACATTTTTTCAATGTATTTATTTTATGCAAAAACATCAACAATTTACCTATCATGTTCTTACCATGTCGGTATGTTCAGCAATTGGACAATTATTTATATTTTCAACAATTGAAGAATTTGGTCCTGTCATATTTACTATAATAATGACCATGAGACAAGCATTTAGCATTGTATTATCATGCCTATATTATAGACATACCCTGAGTCTTGTAGCAATATTAGGTTTACATATAGCATTTGCAGCATTATTTTCACATGCCTATTTAGAATTTAAAAAATCGAGACAACCACGATCAAACATTCAAGTGGCATAATGAAAACGTGAAACAAAAATTATTATCCCTCCGGTGTTTTCATTTTTTTTGTAATATTAATTGTTTAGTGCATACACGCACACACACACCACAACACACCACACCACACACACACCACACACACCACATACACATACACACCACATACATACATGCACACACAAATGCAAGTCATTTAAATGTTCAATCAATGATTATGTACATTTTCTTTGCCAACACAATATCAGTCAGTCTAATTTTCATGGAAAAAATTCATGGATTTTTCTGTTATTTTTTGAGAAATCTTTTTCAGTGATATATTAGTAAAATTTTCTTGTTTTTGTTATTGTTATTCTTCGTACACTGTTGTTCTTTAAATAAAAAGAAGAGTGTAACGTGAAAAAAAGTTTTGTTTGTTGATCGATGCGTTATTGGAAACTAATTTGTCAGTTCATCGTTGTCTGAGATTACCACTTATAAAATACTGTCGCAAAGGAAAGTGTATACAAGGTCAAATTTTCTATATAAATTTTTTTTATACGAAATCTATACGGTTAGAAGAGGGTAGTTGACAAAATTCCTGCTATGATATTCTCGTACAATGTAGGCATTTATAAGGCTGGAATCAAATCTATTGGTAAAGCCAAGTAATAGAATTAGCTATTTTAAATTCGACTTGTTTGAACTAAATAAATTTTGTTTTACAACCGCTTTTTTTGTTACAAAAAGTCAATCTCGAGGACTGCGTGCGTAGTAAGGGCTAGTTCAAGCTTCTAAGGTCTGAGCTTTTCTGTGACGAAAAAGCGGCTGTAAAACAAAATTTATCAAGTAATAGACAATGTGCAAAAAAATCGATATTCGTCACTTTTTTTGTAATACATGGACTTTTACGCTTTGTTATAATTCGGTCAAGCTAACTGTAATGTGAAAGTGAACATATGATCCATTATTTATTTTTTATCATCGTAAAATGTCTTTAGCTGTAAAAATAAAGCTATGAAAGTCGATAAGAATGTACACATTTTGTAATTTATCAGATTTTTTTCTCTTCTGTTGGCTATTAGTATGATGTATCACGTTTTGACTAACAAATATTTCCTTTAGGCCGAAAAATTTGTTTTTTTATATATAAACTGTTATTGAGATTAACTTTTTATCCTTTTTTTTTCCTTCTTTTACTATGAATCATGTATACGACCACACAACTTGGTTGATAACATTTTACGGTTGTTACACGAGTAAAGGATATTTTCACAAACAAAAACAAGATGACTCTTTAGAAAAAATAAATTATTCTCTAATTAATTATAGCTAATTCACCACCAACTTGATAAGAGAGAGTAGTAAGAATTGGTATACATTCTGAGTCGGTGGAAATAGCATCTAGCTTTGTTAAACTTTTTGTGCAAAGCACGCTTGATTAAACATTTCATATATTGAGTAAGTAATTATTGGTTTTATACGTTTTTGTTTTGTTAGTGTTATTATAACGATGATATTTTCATTTGTCCATGATTTTATTCTTGTGTATTACTGTTATAATGCTCTATTTTCTCCTTCATTTTTATTACTTTATTCAATTATTTTCTACAATTATCTATTGAATTTTTTTTTTAACATGAGAGCGCGTTAAACAAGAGAGAAATAATGTTTAAGAATGATTTATTGTCTATCCACTTTTTACACGATTAAAACAATGAATATGTATTTGACAAATTATGAAATTGAGATATAATACTTCCAGTAGTAAATTTGAGCACACAGATATGATGTCTTCTTCTCTACACCATTAAATTATGTAGTATGAATATTTAAAGAGTCCTTTTCAGGATAAATAGAATGAAACTTTCTCCTATTCTCATCTGTGCTGTTGAAAATTACTCGTTTTGGGATAGTAGTTATTTTTATTGACCGATAATATCACAGAGAACAAATATCCTTATAAGTCCTTTAGTATCAGACTATCTAATAGCATTGTTTTTTCTGTGTTTTTATCTATCAGAAAAGCAAAAGCATTTCAATAACCAATACCCGATTGCATTTTTGCAATTTTCAACTAAGTCCATAGCTGTTTTTTTATGAAAGGTGTATATTTGAATTAGAAAGATCAATATTAACTGTAGACACTTTCTTTTAAAAAAATACGACAGAATGATTCTAGTACTTTACATATCATATCACATTAGTCATTTCATGTTTTGTTTTAAACTACATAGCCATTACGGTTGAGTCAAAATTTTAAGATTTATAGTGAGATTGTAATGCATTGATTTGACAAGCAGTTCATATTATCAATATCTAATTAGTATCCACATATTGATTCTTTGCCACTGTACGTTCGACAAATGAGACAAACTGTAAACTCTATCGTGCATACAATTTGAAACTAGCCTACTGTTTTATCACATCGGTACATCATCTTGTTATAAAATTAATCTTTTGAATTTATTCTATATCTATTTATTAAGTATGATATTTTTTAGATGTCATCTAAAACATCAAATGATGAAAATCAGACAAAAGGAGTGAACGTTGTTCTTCTTGGTGCTCCCGGCTCGGGTAACTATTGTTATATGCAAAAAGAGGTTAAATAACAATAAATTGATTCTTCTTCTTCTTTAGGGAAAGGTACACAAGGCTCTAAATTACGTGAACGTTATGAAATATGTGCAATTTCCACTGGTGATCTTCTAAGACATGCTGCCCAAGATAAAGAGTCGGATGTTGGAAAGCAGATTAAAAAGACAATGGATGCTGGTGGTTTAGTAGATGATAATATTGTAATGAAATTAATTAATTCGAATCTGAGTAAACCAGAATGTAAAAATGGTTTTTTGTTTGACGGATTTCCACGAACAATTTATCAAGGTGAACAATTAGAAACATTATTAGAATCGAGAAGACAACGAATTGACGCTGTTCTAGAATACGGTGTAAGTTAAAAGAATTTAAAAGAAACTTAAATTATTTTCGAATCAAATGTTTGTTTAGATTGAAGATGATATACTAAAACGTCGTATACTCGGTCGTCTAATTCATAAGCCATCTGGTCGAACGTATCATGAAGAATTCAATCCGCCAAAAGAAAAAATGAAAGATGATGTTACTGGTGAAAAATTAGTTCGTCGTTCAGATGATACAACCGAAACACTGAATGCTCGTTTGTCAACATATCATACACAAACAACACCTTTAATTGATTTTTATCAACAACGTAATATTCATCGACATATTGATGCCACAAAAAGTGTCGATGATGTTTATAAAGAATCCCTAGATGTTATTGAACATTTACGGTATGAACCAACATATAAACCTATGAATAAAAAAGGTCCTCTAGAAGATCGTACAACAATGGCAACATTAAATAAGCAATTAGAAACAAAAATTGAACAAGATGATAATTTTTTAACGGTGAAAACACAACCAGTTACGGGCAAATCAAATGTACCGGTTGATAGTTTGAATAAAGATTTTTTATTCATTTATAAAACAGTGACCGATATATTGCGTGATAGAGGATTAATTTAAAGAATGTACATGGAACATTTTAGGCAATTTCGGGTTGAAAACCCTCCTACTAGTTGAATTCTATTTTTTTTTCATTTAAAGGTTTTTGTTTATGTTTTCATCATGTTTCTCAACAACTACTTCTGAAATATTGATGTCTGATTTCGGTGTAATGATCCTCTGTGATTAAATTTTTTGTTGTTATTATCATAAACTCAAAATCATTATCCATGATATAACTTATCTTTTGGTATTTAATGCTATTTTTTTGTGTTTTATAGTAAGCACAGCTGAATTAGAATAGATTTTAACTGGTAACTTTATGTTATTTTGTTGTTGTTATTTTTCAAACCTTTGCCGTAATTTTTATTGATTTCGGTTTTTGTTAGATTGTATTTCTTTTTTTTAAACATGCCAGACGTTATTAATAAACTTATAACACGTTTGCAGAAATATTAAATTATACATAACCATAAGATAAGTATCACCACTTAACTTTGTTTCAATTACTGTATGAAATATTCTTTTACAATGTTGGATAATCATCAATGATGTTGTTGTTTGTGATTCTAGTTAACATGTGCCTGTTCCTGTGATTGTTGTTCCATTTACGATTGTTGTCGAGATGAACATTTTAATTCTGCATTTTTATCACTGATATTGCTCCTATTAGTTGTAGATATTCCAGATGTTGACATTGATTTATCTGGTAAAGATTCAATAGTCAATGTGATAAGTAATCTCACGATACTTCTTACAAATCTGGCTGCCGGATACGGATGCATTTGGGCTATGTTATCATCATGATTATTGTAATCTTCCAATTGCATTGAATTGAATGTACAGACTACAAAACTAAAAGCTGCAAAAATAGAAACACAATATTATTTTCAGACTGAAATATTGGGAACTAGTTGGACGTACTAGTGAAATTGGACTTTGAAGGTTACACCAGGCACCTCGATTAATTTCGCTCGTCTCGGAGTCAGTCGTAAATTTATCGTGATAAACGCATTATTAATTGGTGTTCCAAATTGCAATCAGTTGTTAGTGATATTGAAGTGAAATATCAACAATTATTGGATGAACAAAATATTCTATACCAGATTATTCGAAACAATTTCATCATAATGAGTACTATTGTGTCGCAGTGTGAATTTAGTTCCAGCTATGAACAAAATTTTTTTTCTTTTGAAAATAGTTCAAATACCGGCATAGGAACGAGTCTTACACTCTGGATTAATTTCAATTTCAAATAAAACAATTTGTGGTTCATCATCAGGACCCAAATATATTTTTTACATGTCGAATTGGTTTACACTAAAGAAACTAAGAATGAGAATTTCAGCGGAAAATACGACTCTTTCGTGTCTCACAATTGAACACAAAACAGTTGGGAAAGTGAAACAATAATACAGAGAGACCTGTTACAAAGCGGCAGAGTCTGCATGAAAATAAAATCGGAGTTCTGATCTACCCTTCTCTTATTCTCTCAATTGTTGTGTGATCGATTTTGACATCTACAAGTCACATTTTCCGCTAAACTTATTTTTATCAAAAATTTTCGCTTGATCCTTCCGGAATCGGACTTTTGGGCTAACTTAGAATTTTAATTTTTCTCTAGGTCATGCATATACGTCCCGATTTTAAGTTAGCTTAGATCATTTCGAGATCAATCTGCAACATTTTCGAATGGCAATTAGATATTGAGCAGGTACAACGATGCGTCACTTCAGCGTTATCGATTAGGGGGTGGTAATCCACACCCTCGTTTGGGTAAAGTTACCAAAAAATTTTGACTTACTCAGAAATTTTTTGAGAAATTTAAGTTGAGAAACTGTTTTTTATGTACCTGAGTAAATGATTTTCTCTAGCTTCTGAGTAATTCATTTATTTGTTGAGCAACTGGCGCTTATGCACCTGAATAAGTTTTGTTAGCTAATTAGCTTAAAACATACAGTTAGTTAGTCAGAAAAAAATTCACTCAAGAAAAAACTTTAGTTACTCAACAGAATTTCATGACTCTAGTATCATTTGAGAACTAAATCAATGGAGCACAAACTACATATTCCAATTCGTCCGTTCACTAATGAGATTGGTTTCTTTGTTTATTTGTTCATTCGTAAACCCTACGCTTGAAAAAGATTTTCACATTCGTTGAAAGAGTTCTAAAAAACATTCATCTCGAAAATATGTTTTGCGTGCCACATACGTTTCGATAGTTTGCCTTTTTTACGGTTTGATTTTTATGCATTTCAGATCAATGATGTTCACAATAAGTTGGCTATTATTTTTATTGCAACGTGTTGATCAGAATAGTAGGTGGGTTGTGGTTCAAAATATTGTATACAATGCAATTATTATTTATCTTTCAATAGTTCAATGTCAACAATATGTCCGTCATTTAAAAATGAGAAGACATTATTTAACTTTACTACGGATAGTGCATCGATAAATGATTGGCAAGAAATTAGTGATACAGAACGTGATGTGGGAAAAAGTAAAGCCACATTTGTTTTGCAAAAAACACAACAATTTCAACGTGCCATTTTTTTTACACTATTAAATCCACAATCGAATGGTGCCGGTTTTGGTGGCGTCGCATATCGAAAACAAACATTTGATCTAAGCGCTTATGATGGACTAAAATTAAATGTACGAGCACAAGGAGAATGTTATAATTATAAAATTATTCTACGACATCATCATCAAGAATCGAGTCTTGATCCATCGTATGAAATTTTCTTTGAGGTAAGAATCGAAAAGAGATGACTACACTACAGTTATGTCTACTTTTGTGAGTTATTTTCTATCCATTTTTGAATCAGTTTTAGTAGAATTGCAAATATACTTTCTTTCTTAGTTACCCAAAAATCAATTTACTGAAATTTATCTTTCATTCGACAATTTCAAACCGTACAGTCGTGGTAAAGCACTCGATCCAAGTAAGGTGCCATTATTAGATCGAAGTGATGTAACAAGTATCGGTCTTCAAGTCTATGGTGGTGTTTACTCACCAATTAAGCAACAAGGTTCATCTAGTCTGGAAATCGATTATATAAACACTGTTCAATGTACTTCAATCTAAAAACATTGTGGAGAGAGAATATGGTTTATTTTTCTGGTTGGTCTTTTGTTTTTAATGCTGTTTTTAAATTTTTGTATTTTATTAGAAATGAAAAACAAATCGGTAAAAGAAACCTATTTTTTTCATTATTCTAAGCATCTACGATTGTTTTCACACAATTCTATCGAATGTTACATAATTTAAAAGTCGAATGGATTTAATTATGGATATCGCATAGTTTGCGGTAGTAGTTTTAGTATATTCAATGAGAAAAAAACAAGTTTTTTCTCGTATATAACAGTACGTGGCTAATGAAGAGTCAAAAGAATATAAGTTATATATATGAGTCATTTGCAACTTTATTGTACAGTTGGTGAAAAATAATGAAAGTGACTTTAAACAAAATTTGATTAGCACATCTTGTTCTCCGTTGTTTTCTGAGTCTAGACTAAGTTCATACCATATGTAACTTAGTCTGACCTGCACAGCAAACGTTAGATCGTTAAAATCCTAATTTCGAATGTGTATTCAAAAATAAAACGCAAAGCTTGTAGACTAGAGGTGGTCAGCCACTTTGGAGAAACTCGACATCAAAACTACGTAAATTTATGGATAGATAGGTTCAGCAGAATATAAGGAGTCAAAATTGATGTTATAACTTGGTTTTTGACTAAAAGAACCG